AAAAAATTCAAGAAATGCTTCTAAATTTTAATAAAAATATATATAGATTAAAAATTTCGGATGGTACACTTATATATTATTTAATCTGTCATGTGGTTCAAAAGGAAAAAATCAATATACACTCTCCATTTATTTAAATTCATTAAATATTAAATCATTATTAGAGACTAATCTCATACATATACATATAAATATATATATATACATATAAACTAAAAAATAATAATAATAATAAATAAATAAATAAAATAAATAAATAAAACCAATTTTAAATTTAATTTAAATACAATTAATTTATCATGCTATCGGCTTCAGAATTGAAGGTCAAAATTCTCAAAATAAAATAAATAAAAAATTTTTTTATTTAATTTAATTACAATTAATTTATCAGGCACACTTGCCTTCAAATTTAAACGTATATATAAGAAATTATTAATAAATGTTTAATACTATCCTCAATCAATCTGATCAATCCCATCATAAATGCCTTTCACTTCTATTTCATTCATTTCTAAAAGAGCCCCATAGTTTATTTTTTCCAGTGCACGCATTTTGCACTGCTCGAAAGGTTTCTCGCAGGTGACAACTCTATATCTCTAATCGTCTCGCAAATAAATATTGCCAGCAACTATTTTCCGTGGCTCTAGTTTCCTTTTTCATTGCTTGATGCCAGATTTTTATGGCTATCATCGTGGGGCTAGCCCAAGGGGTGGCTCGCTGCCTTGACTGCGACTGGGTTAACTCAGTCAGTTCTGTGCTGAAACAGATAACTATTTGGCTTTATGGCCAGGTTTCATGCCAGACCGTCATACAATAATTCCGTCTAATCGACTTTGAGCGCAGGAATTGAGCAAACACTTTGGCTGTCCCAACGGCTCGCCATGCAAACTTGTTGGCCGTGCAGCCGGTATGGATATATTTGTATTTATTTACATTTGTATATCGGTATATACTTCGCGTGCTTTAAGAATCATTTTGCTGGCAGCTAGAATTACAGCCTCAAATCCCACCCACAAATGGCAACCGCAAAGCTGTTTTCCCCAACGGGCACAAAAATGTGTCCGCTGACACCTTCAGCCCAATAAATCATTCAAATTCTCAATTTCGTACCCTCGTTGTGAAAAGTTAAAAACGGGTGTATTGACTTCCATACGTAGAATCTATTGTATATAAGCCATACAATTTTTGTCCTAAAACTTTAAGTCCCTTCTTTGGAATTTAATCTAATCCTTTCTAGTTTAGTTATGAACTTTTTAAATTTTTGACAATCGACTTTCGATTCTAGTCAAAACTTGTGTACTCAATAGAGATCTAAAATATTTGAAAATTTGAAGAAATTACCAAATTTGATTGTATTTCCATCATTTCTCTCTAGGACTATTAACACAGTTTCAATACTCTTACCAACTCTTGGTTTATTTTGTTATTGAACACTGGAAGATGACAGTCTATACCCACTCTACACCTTCTAGTATAACACTTTATTCAGTTTCACATTGATTGCTATGCCTTTGTGACAATAATATGAAATGCATGGTCAAGGCTTAAGTTTTATTCCCATTTATTTTTGTTTTGCATCGGACAGCTTAGAGCCAACACCTTGACGGCAAAGAAGCTCAAAGCGAAATGCAACCGAGTTGAGGACATTTTTAAGCTGACCAAGCGGCGGTCCTTGCAGACTCAGGGCCTTCCTTGATTTATAAATGACAGAAAAAAAAATTCAATAGAAATTTAATTTCAAAAGCAATTTGTAGTTGCATCAATAAAAGTTTGACCAATATTTCAATAGCTCAATTTCATTTGCATTTTCTCTTTGCAAAGGTCTTGTTTAGTTTGCCAAAAGCTCTGGGTTTGTGCAGCTGCTAAGCTTTGGGCGAAGCTTTTTAATTGCCTACACTGAAAGTTATTACGGCAACTTTTACAAATGAATGTAAAATAATTATTGATGTGAAACATTGTGAATAAATATTATTGAAGATTTAACTGAAAGTGGGATACATATTTTAGACTGAACACTTTTGTATATAACTTTTATAGTTATCTAAAAATTCTATATAAATATACTTAAATGATAATTATATTTATAATATAAATAGCCAAAATTAATATTTTAAAATTAAAATTTTTTTAGAACTCGTAGCTAAATCCCCGGAAAATAAGTAATTCCATGTCCAAAGTGGTTCTGCTTTTCTAAATGTAAAAATATCCTTCATCTGAATTACTCAATATGATTTACAGACATTCTTTTCCCTCTCTAGGTTAACTATCTAAATTTAACCACACATTATTAGGTCTTACGTGCACTTGACCAGATCCTGCAGATCATCCTGTGTGAGAGCATATTCCGCAGCAACGACAGTTGATTTCGTCGTCTTGCGGCGACTGCGGTGCCTCCGTCTCGGCACAGCCTTGGCGACGCCTTGTTGACTTGGGGCCAGATTATCCGTGGATTGCTGGTAGCTGGGCATACCTCGGACCATGGTCGTGACCACCACGTCGGCCACGCTCTCGATGCCACGCTCAGCCGGATACTTGGCTTTGCCAGGCCCGGTGCCCGCCGCATTGGCCTCCTCCGCCTTCGTCTTCTCCGCATAGCTGTCCCTTCTCCACGATGGAGTCAGAGTGCGTATCAGATGCTGCGTGTCCACATAGCCCTCGTAGTTGTATCGCTTGCGTAGACTGAGGCCGGAGAGATATTCGAGCGTCTGCCAAACGTTCATCTTGTTCGAACCGTAGCGCGGCTCAGCGTCGACTGACCAACAATCGTTGCGTGCTATCCGCTGGGCGAGCAGCATCGTCACCGTTGCACATTTGTTGGCGCCCCTTGTCGGGGTGGGCAGCAGCCATTCGTTCGAATTGGAGCGCGCAACAGTGCCAGCTGTGAGTGGCATGTGGATAACACTTTGTTTACGCCGGAGTTACGGGGTCACACACGTATCACACGTCAACGGCAATACCCTTCCCCTTGAAGGATAAAAGGTATATGGGGATAATAGATTTCTCACGGCTTATGGATAACAAACAATAACTATTCCATACCCTTTCTTTAAAGGAACAAGGGTAGATTGGTGAGATATGCATACGTCTATCAATGAGCAGAGATATAGATGGGGCAGTATCCGTTATCCCCAAGTTATTCACGTCGGTGTTGAATGTGATAAGTTAGACTTAAATCTCAAATTGATCGAGTATGGCAGTGCGAGGTGTAATCTGTTATACGTATAACAGTTGACTGAATTCAAATATCAATTCATCCATCCATTCAGCTATATCTGAAGCGGTACGTTCATCCAATTCGTTGCTTCTTATCCGCTCCTACGTGCGCTCGTTCTGCAATCCTTACGGATGTTTGGAAACACCTGTGTATACCCGAATATACCCTCGCTTTTATACTTTTATACTCAACAAACGCAAATTGAAATGTAATTAAGTTTCTTTAAAAAAAAAAGAACACACACATAGGATAAACTTTGCAGCCCGTTGACGGGGTCAGGAGGCGGCTCTCGCGTGCGACGCCGCTGACGGCCGAACTTGATTTGAGACCTGTAGCCAGAGCCGCCTAAACTGGAGCTGATGGCCCCCACCATTTAGGATGAGCAACAGCAGCAGCAGTTGCGTGGCGCGTATCGTGTTTATTGTTTGCCATATGCAGCTCCGAGCCTCGCTGGCGTCGGCTGAGCCACGCCTCTTCGGCTCAATTCGGTGCCATTAAAAATAATATCATTCTGATTGAGTGACGCGCCGCTTAAGTACTTTCCTTTCATTCCCGTACTGGGTACTGACACCATTTCCGCTTCATTTCCCTTTTCTTTGACTTTTTTTTATTGAACACGCAAAGTGTTCAGCCTACAATTGAAAGACCCCGACCCTAACAGCCGAGAGCTATTAGCCAAAAACAAAAACAAAATTCTACGCAGCGAAGGCTCTAATAGTGGGCTGTGCGCCTAGCAACACCTACATAAGTGAGGCGTGCTAATAACATTGAAAATTCTTTTATTATATTTTTTATGCGGAAAAATTGAGTCATTAAGAGAGTTTAGGGATAGTTGGAATTTGAAAATGGAATTAGGATAAAAGTGTAGAAAGATCTAATGATAAGGGTGCTACTCAAGGTTGAAAAAAGAAACTATTTCTTAATTTATTTTTATACATATCTTTACTTCCCAAAATATGCTGCCAGACCGTTTCATTACAGAAGTTTAGAAGATCCTTGGCAAACTTCCATATATTTAGGCTCCAAAACTTGTATTAAATATTTTCACACACAGCCTTGAGAGCACCGCAATAGCACTTGAGGCTGTCCACATGGAGCACACCAAGTGGTAATCGACCTATAAACAGAGCGCCAGACGTTTTTACCAATTACTTGGCAAACTTTTGCTGACAGCCCGTCAATCAAAACGCTTCGTTAGCATCGCGTGACTCCAAGTGGCACATTCATTTCATATATAATATATAGACTTATACACATATACATATATATAGTATCTATAAGGTGTAACAGCTAGCCTCTTTCACGTGAACTGAAAGTCTTATCAGGCGTGTGATGCAATTGTCTGGGCGCATTTCTTGCACTCGATTAAAGACACGTTCCCAACTTTCATTTGCACATTGAATAAATAATTCAAGGCCGACAGCTAAATGCTATGATGTATGGATGTAATTAGCATACAGACGATAATGCTTTGATAGATCCAAAACGTTTTAGTTAAAAGGTTTCGACTTAGCTTAGTCTATTAACTATACTTTTCTTCAGCCAATCAATCGAACATATATTTGAAATATTTATGGAAATATATGACCCTTTGCCTATCATGTGTACCCATAGAGAATGCTTTAGTTCGGAACTTTAATCAAATCACAGTTCGTGTTAGCTTAGCATTAATCGCTGTACCACAAACTATGTATGAATCTAACCTCATGATAAACTAGGTAAGCTCCTTTGCCATATACTAGTCACTCCACAATCGAAATATTCTAATTATATGTGCAATACTCACGCAACAATAACATCTGGATCCTCCCACCATTTTTTCTGCGTGGGCTCCAATCGCAGACTCACCTGCCGCCAATGATTCTTGTGAACTATCTGATGTAATAATAGATAATAGATAATCGATTAGTAAACCCCTTCTCAACATTTTTAAAACATTTTCCAGCTCACCTTATACTTCTTGGGATCATAGGAATTTTGTTCCTTTTCATTAAAGACCAGACGAGCCATGTCCTTTCCCTAAGTCTATTTGCAGAAACATATATACACGGTTACTAGCTACAAAGAGCAATGTGTACCTATATATATATATATTTATATATATGTGGAGAGCTATATAATTGTGTATTTCTTACTCCAAACGTTTAACTTAAGATTTCAAATATGACAGATTTTTTAAGGGTAACGCCGTTTACGTTTGGAGTTTCAGTTGAATTTTTGATAGATATTTAAAGGAGTACGAGATAGCATTTTATATGAGGAGTAAAAAATAACTAAGAAAAAGACAAAGAGAAGGAGAGGGAGACATATGGATATATGGAGGGAGAAAAGAATTGATAGAGACAGAGACAGAGAGAGGGAGAGAGAGAAAGATAAAGAGATATAACGAACTATATGCACATAAAAAATATATATTTGGTTATTTCATTCAATAAACTTTTCCGTAGACTCTAATTTTACAGTTTTCTTGTATATTCAAAATACCAGAAAATTACCTAACGTATCCACAGCTCAATGGACATATATGGCTCGCAAAAAAATACCGTAAAAGTATTATGCAAATCTCTCTTCTAGATTACATAAGCATTCCATTAGCTTAGCTTTAGTCTAAGTGTCTTTTAAAAGCTTTTCCTCAAGCTCTATTAGCGATTTAAATATTATATTAATTATCTGTCTTGGGTATTTATATGGCTACATAATACATGCCAGAGTCCGCCAATTTAATATCAGAGCAAACACTTTTAAAAATGCTGATGAAATATAAGCTACATTCAGCATAAAATTCCAAGACCCGAGCACTAACAATTGTTTTGAATGCTTGCTATTATTGTAATAGTCTATACCCATTGAAATCGGCTACTTAGAATGGGGTATATTGGTTGTGTATGAAATACTTTTAGTGAGAGATGAAAGCTGCATTAACCAGCATATATTTATATTCAAGTACTACTACAGATCTGTAAACATTTCTTTAAAATCGATAAATATCGATTAGCGTTATATATGTTTATATACAGTTCTCTTTTCTTAAAAACTATAAATACTTATAAATTCTATTAGTTACTTAAGCATTCCAGTTTCACGTTCACTCCATCTATATTGATCTTTTACTCAATGCAGGGCAACCTCAAGTCAAACATTCTTCGCAGCTACAATTGTCGCCATGTGGCTCAATTGATAAGCGTTACGAGTACAAGCCCCACACATGTCGCTGATATATTGTGTGTGGTGTTTGAAGTGATTAAGCGAACCAAATGGAGGCTGCTTTGATCGCCATGTCTTGGACTTGTTTGTGGCGTTTATCATGGAACTGGCGCTGTCAACTACTGTGGCTAATTGTGACCTAGGCGAAGGTCAAGAGGGGGGAATATGTTCATACACATCGTTGCCATATCGCTAATCTGTCCAGTTTCCGCATTTACTGCATTGTCCGAGAACTGGAACTGGCCTGGGCGAAAAATCTGTCTCTCAGAATTCGTGCGCTATAAAAGGCCAAGAGCCAAGAGCAGTTGGCAATTAGTTACGTTTCAAGCGTTGCAGCAAACACAGAAAAGCTAAACATGAAGGTGAGACGACCGTTATCCGATTGACAGACCCAAAGGCTTAGCCTAGAATTAGCAATGGCTTAAAGTGTTTATCAAAAAGTTAAAACCTGACTGGTCAAAGGACTTACTTAAAAATATACCCGGTGAACTAGTTCTAGGCATAATCTGAAAACACCATACCAAATTTCATCAAGATATCTAAGGATTAGAACTGACTAAAAATACGTCAAAGGACTGCAGTTTTTATGTTTCTTGGATTTATTTAAGGATGAAAAACTCTTATCTTTGAACATTTCTTGGCATTTTCATCTAAAAATTGACTATTGTAATTTTTATAATTTGTGAATAATTCATAAACTTCAATTCAAACTTTATTTTCAGTTCGCCGTTGTCGTAGTCTTGTTCGCTTTGGCCTGGGGTGCCAACTGCTCGATTGTGCCTTTGCTCAGCGCTGGTCCCGGACCCGCTCTGCTGCTCAGTGCTCCTGCTCCGGTTGGCTCTGTGGCTGTGCATGCCTCCGCTGTGCCCGCTGCCGTGCCCCTTGCCATTTCACCAGCTGGCCCCATTCTGGTGCAAGGTGCCGCTGCCTCGCCTGTTGTTGTCGCTGCTCCCGCTCCAGCTGTGGTAGCCGTCGCTGCTGCGCCCGCTTCGTATGTGGCCAAGACTCGTGGTGCCGTCCACGTGGCTCCTCTGCCCGGACATGTTCAGAGCGCCGCCTCCGTCAACCTGGAGCCCGCACCAGGCACCTTGTAAAAACGTTTCGCAATAGACCTTCACATGGATAACACACTCGCTTAAAAGACCTTGCCATCGCTATCCCGTTTTATGGTTTTCTTATAAATGTTCTTTTGTTTATTTTCGTTTTCCTGAAAGATTTTCTTACTCCCATGCGCCTGATTCGATTCGGGCGCTCTGCCATCTAAGTCATCTATCTATCTTAATAGTTAGCTCTTCTCCTACTCTACTGATTCTGGTCTTTATTCTATGTACACCTATATCTTTAACGATCTGTTAACCAAATGATATCCGATCAAGCACCCACTGTTGTCAAATGGAAAATTGTTTCAAAATAAAAATATTTGTTTAAAATCAATATTAATATGGACTTTTTATTTATTTTGGATATATTGCCTCTTAAATGCTTTCCAAATAATTCGTTAGCCCACGAGGGGCTCTAAAACATTTCAGACTTGACCAAAAATGATTTATTGATTTTAAAAATTAATTATTCACTATATATATATTTATATTTATATATTTATTTAAAACTTTATAAAAATAATCATAATTATAATAATAATATCTCCATTTGCATCAATATAGGGTGTACATTACGATATGTAAATAAAGCAATTAATCATTTCAACTTAGAGATCAACAGATACAGGGGTGTTGACCACAGCCCGCATAGCTAAGCAAATCCAACTTGTTAACTACAGACAATAAATTATGCACCTGGCTAAAATCGAAAGTTATGTATATGAACTAAACTGGAGCAGGGCCAGTTGACCTTGATTGAGCAGCGCACTTGCACCTATGTATAGTATAAAATAAAACTCTGGTTATGTTTCAGCTTGTCGTATGCTAATTCTAAAAAAGCCTCAGGTAAGGTTTAGCTGCTGTTCAACTGTCATGTTGGCGCTTAAACCCACTAACTGTTGCTCATAAATCTTGAATTGCCAGTTTGCGAGTCTGTAGCAGTCATTGATATTTCTTACAGTTTATCAGGTTTATGCAACGATTTTTTTTATAAATCATTTAAAATGTATTTATAGACTGTTTCAAATCAATAAGGGTGACGCAGCCCTGTCGTAATAGGTACACTAGATTGTATTTAATGAGTTCAAAATTGTTATATTCGTCATTATGCCAATTATCTACTGCATTCATTAAAAACACTCATTTTCAGTTTATATAATAGCTATCTAATAGCTTTCTAAGTCTACCTTCATGATTAAAATAGTATACATTTTATATACGTGTGAATAAGGAGTTAAATGCAAAATAATGTAGCTTTATATCTAGTTTTAATTTATATTTCGGAGCATTTGTAAATATCGATTTATAACTGACAATACTAATCTAGCGTGGAAAGCTATTATTTAGAGCTAATTTACTAATAGCTTCAATAGCTTCATATATCGATATAAAATAATAACGGATTATCCAGCGTACTAAATTATCGACACAAGAATACATTCGAGTTTTTCCATATTAAGAGGGCGCCGATACTTGACAGTACCAAGTGAGTAGATAGTTAACAATAGTCGAATAACACTAACGTCTTTGTCATCAGTGTCAGATTATTCAAAGCCTGTTAAATTCAAAATTAGGCGAACCGGTCAATTGTTGTCAACAAATAAATAAAAAAATAAATAAAATAAATAAAAGAATATTATATGGGCTGCTTAAAAATAAATGGCTCTTAGAGAATCTATAGATTCGAATTTGTTCAAAATTGAATCGCAGTTTAGTAACATCGAGCTGTTATTAACAGCGAACGGTTTATGTTAAGCACCTGAATGCAAAAACATATGTTTTTACACCGCAAACGGAATTTGGTTATCAATTTTTGCAAGTGCATAAAGTAAAGGGCTGCGCGCCCACAAAAAAAAAAAAGAAAAGAAATAATAATAATACGAGTGATAAAAACAAATATGGCTAATAACTATAAGGTAATGCCAGCTGGCATGGAGTCTGATGATGAGGAACTTGATTGTATGCTGGCACATTTGAAGATTAAGCGATTAGAGGATATTACAACGGGTAAATGAAATGATTTCTTAGCACATGGGATTGATTGCTCATATTGCTGTATATGATTTTGAACTACATCCTCAGGTGCTGGCATCGATGGCGATTTTGACGCCACCTTGGACGAAAACTTGCAACAGTTCTTCACCGCCTTTCGTGATAAATGGAATATGCACAGCAAATGCAAATCTTCGCCATATATGAGACAAGAGTTGATCAAAGCGCTAATGCAACATCCCAATCCCCTGTTAATGGCACTCAAAATCTTTGCTAATTGCCCGGACAGCAGTAATGTTAAGAACAAAAGTCTATCGCACTTTGTGCTCGATACCGTTTGCAAACTGCAGGTGGATTTTCCACACCTCAGTGAGCAATGCGACAAAAATACGAGCATGATTGCATTTCATTTTGTTAAGACAACGGGCTTGCCTTCACTAAATAATGCCATGGTCCAAGCATATCGTATTAACCAAATCAGGGAGCTGCTCGTACCTAAATTGAAAAAGATGCTCGATGAGGGCTACTATAAGGAGGTGGCCCAATGGACTCTCTATTTACAGTTAACTCATCAATTTGATATTCTGGAGTTGGCATTTCCCTTGATAGCACAAGAAAAACTACCGTTAGCTGAAGAGTACCTGGATCAAGCAACGCAACAGCGTTTGCCTTTTGTACAATTTCTCGATTCCCTGCTGCACAGGGAAAAATCTGTCATCGAGATGTGTGAACAGACTTTGAGGTAAATATGTACAAAAGCTATATAGTACAAGCAAAAAGCGCGACAAAGTTCTATAAATTATATATAAGCATAGTAACGATCAATCACCATTCATCTCAAAGCTAGACACTTGACGCACAGGTCCTGCGGTAGCACGTGTCGATCACGTTTGAAATCATCGATAGCCCTAACAACTACTATGAAATCGATTAATATCATAAGCTCTTCTCTTTCGCAGTCGCTATAAGAATCTGAAAGTCTCCCATCACGTGCTAAGCTATCGTCCTATCTCAAAGATCGTCGCTCGCTTGGCCAAAAAATATGGCTTCGACGATACCATAACGCCCAACTATAAATTCACCAAGACCTGCAGCTATCTACATTACCTGTATCGAGAATATGAGAAGCAGAGGATTAATCTGGCCAGCTTTCGGGAGCTGGTTAGGGTTCATGCTTCGGATTATGCGCTGCGTCTGGATTTTGTCAACTATATAGCAGCTGCATCCGTAAACAGTCCCTTCGAATCAGAAGCCATCTATTGGTATAATGAATTTAAGATTCTCAACGAACATTGTCCACATGAAATTAAATCGCTAATCTCACAAAAATCGGATCTGCAAAACTGTCGAGTAACTGAAGAGCAATCAACCGAGTCGATGCCTTGTGAATTGTACCTGGGCATGGATCTGCCAGACGAGTGCCTCATCATAGTAGATTCTTTTCCAATCTTTAATCGAATGCTGAAGCATTTGCAGCGCGAGCATATCATCTACCTGGACTCTGAGTGGATGCAAAATGTTTGTGCGCAAAACCAGCTTTGCCTACTGCAAATTGCGACCACCTGCAATGTGTACCTAATTGATTGCTTGGCTAGTCGGCCAGCACTGGAGGAGCAACACTGGCGGGCGCTGGGCGCCACGGTGTTCAACAATCCCAACATACTCAAAGTGGGTTTCTCCATGTTGAATGATTTGTCGGTGCTGCAACGATCGTTGCCTCTTCAGCTACGCCTCCATATGCCGCATCATTATCTCGATCTACGCAACGTGTGGCTGGAGCTGAAGAAAAGGCAAGGAGTCGAGCTGCCTTTTGGAAATGTCAATCGTGCCGGAGATGCGCTCACAGATCTTTCTATGCTCTGCCTAGGCAAAAAACTGAACAAAACGAATCAATGCTCAAACTGGGCAAATCGACCGCTGCGACGAGAACAAATACTCTATGCAGGTGGGAACCTAATCTTAATGTAGATCCATTAGTTGGAGTTAATTTTATCTAATTCTATAAATTGATCTCCTTTATAGCCATTGATGCCCGTTGTTTGCTGTTGATCTATGCGTGCCTCTCCAGCTGCGTGCCGGACATTAATGTTATTATTGAAAAGTGCATTGCTAGCAACAATTTTTTGCGACGTGGCGGACACAATGTGAAATAGTAGAAATAAGAAATAATCTCGGTAGCAGTGATGCGCCTGTGCAAGGACAACTATGTTAAAGTTATGAGAGTATTTGAATTATATACACATATATATATATATATGTAAGCATTCATATATATATGTATACATGATAGCAAGTATTAAACGGAATTGGACATTGATTATTTCTGTTTATTTCACAACTCTTGTTTTCATATTTATTTATACAAACTTGTAAGTGCCCACATATTTAACAAAAAGCTCATATTAATCAATCACTCAATCGTGAAACAATCTGTGTCGCAAAATAGCATAAGTAAAATACTGTTAACAAGCTTTAAAACTTAAATGATATAAAGGGCAACGCTTGGGCAGTGAGCTTAGATTAATATGTGAGCATATGTACTATTCCAGTCCCTATCAAAAACGCTTTCCAAATCATTGCGTATGGAATTTGCCATTTGGGGCAACGAGTCTTTCAGGACCAAACCAATGCCCGCTGTGGTTTTAAAATAATCGCCCGACCAATTGGAAGTACCTATGTAGGCCACCTGGTCGGTGACCATATACTTATTGTGATTAACGCGGGCATAGGGTATGCGCTGCTGCTGCTCATTCGTGGGCACAATAAAACGGCGCTGCAAGAGTGGCAAGTAATTAGTATAATGTTGTTGCCTATAGAGTTTCATAGTTACAATTTGTATATCGACATGATTAGCCATGGTTAGATCCTGCAGTGAGCGCAAATAGTTGTCCATACGCTTATCGGAATGCTTCCACCAAGAGATGAGCATCTTAACAGCTACTCCACGTTCCACGGCAGCTGTACGTAATGCATTGTCGATCGCTGACCAATATTTAATCTTCGATTCAAACATGATTAAAGGATAGTAGTCCATAACAGAAATGTGCACAAATTTAAGAGCTGTGTTAATTGTCTTTAGAATGGCATCCAAATCGTTAGTGCGTCCAGCTGCAGAGAGTGGAGGCGGGGAGCTGGATGCATATCCCTTCATTATGTATCTCCCATTCACATTCAATAACATGGGCTGTTCCGCATTGTAGTTGGTATTGTAGCCATAGGGCCAAGAATTTGGTATACGAGCATCGGGATTGCTACCCAAATACCAGTAAGCTTTGAATATCTTAGCCAAATCGCCGGCCAATTGTGGACAATTCTGGCCGAGGACGCCCATTTCCTTGATCTGGGTTAGGGAACGCCAATCCATGTTGGCACTGCCCAAGTAGAAGTGCTGACCATCTACAATCCAGAGTTTTGTGTGCAATATGCCACTGCCAAAGTACTTGGGAAAATCAAGAGTAACTACCTCAGCAGCTCCATAGGTCGAAAGGATTTGCGTATCCACATCCGGAGAAACGTTTGAAGGGGTGCTCTGTGCAATACGTATCTTAATCTTTGAACCCACACCGTTGCCATTGTTCAGCAGACGCTGAAATATCTCCTCTCCAGGTTTTGCACTGCTCTCATTCAAGCCCAAATCCTCGCTGCGCATTGTCCAGTAAAAAGAGCCAATGTCCAATGAAGTTTTTCCAATATCCAAAAGTTTTTGCCACGCCTCAATGGTGCTGATGAACTTCGGACTGTTGGGCGTATAGTTTAGACCAATGGGTATGGACTCCACTAGTGTTATATTGCAATCATATATCGTATCATCACGTGGAAGTTCTTTGGTTTTAAGTGCAAAAGACTTTGGATGCAAAGCGGAACCGGCTATAAATAGCAACAGGAATGTAGATAGAAGAAACATTTGCACCGCATATACGTTTCCTCTTTGCGCATTCCTATTCGAAGCTAGCTCGACGTCGTCCTCATGGTTGATAAGTGGTTGAGGCTTGTACATCTTTCGATTTTTAGCTAATGGAGTTTATCAAATTTGTTAACCAATTTGTCTACCATATCCTTATCGAAATAGCAGTAACTAATAAGCGTTGATAATTGACCAATTTACTTAAATATGTGCATCGACATCTATCGATTGACACTCAGCTGCTCCCACGATAATAAGGCTTGACGGCTTTAGCTAAGTAAGCTTTTTATGTATTGTTTTTGAAATATCAAACCTAGCATTAGCATATTTTGTAATTAATACTCAGTTTATTTATATCGTCATATTAGTTCCATACATTGTCCTTGATATTGCCGAGAGGCTTTGTAAAATTGGCTTATTGCAAAAATACATAAATCAATTTTTAGCTTTTTTCATGTTAGCTTTTCATCCGCTTAGATCGTCATCTCTTATATGTTGTTATCGGTTACCGACCGGCTCAAGAAATCGATTGCTTAACAACTAATAGCCATTTGAGGACAAAAATAAACAAAAACAGCTGATTGTTAAAGTTCAAGACGTAAAAATGTTTCGAAACCTAAGCTTGTTAAAACGCAGCAAGTATGCATGTGTAGAGTAACAAAAGAGAGTAAAAATAATAAATTTCTTTCCACAGCCTATTGGCGAGGAAAATCAGCTTAGATGCTGGTGCAGGTACTGGGTCTACGCAGCAAACATCAGAAACGATTCGCGAAGTGAAGCATCATGAAAACTTGGCCGCCAATTGGTGGAATAAGAAAGGTCCAATGGCAGCGCTGCATGCCCTAAATGAAATTAGGTAAGTCAACTGATGCTAACTAAAATATTGGCACTGAAATTGTCTTCTTAGAGTTCCACTAATACGTGATGGAATCGTGGCACGCGGCAATGTAAATTCGCGTTATATAAACACAACAAAAGTATTGAGTGGACAGTGCATATTGGAGGTTGGATGTGGAGCTGGCTTACTGACCGAGCAACTTGCGCGCTTGGGCGCTCAAGTTACAGGCATCGATCTTGGTGAAGAACTGATAAAAACAGCAAAAGAACATTTGAGCAACTGCAGTGCGGAACTCTGTGATAGAGTCCAATACAAAATGGAACCCATCGACCAGCATGTCAAAGCGAATTTCGAGAGGTATGATGCGCTAGTAGTTTCTGAAGTTCTAGAGCATGTTGACGATAAGGTGGCTCTACTAAGCGCTTGCGTAAAGACTCTCAAACCTGGCGGCTCAATATTCATAACCACCATGAACAAAACTGTGCCAATGTGGATCGGCGGCGTCGTCGTTGGTGAATATATCCTAAATATAGCACCTAAGGGCACGCATCACTGGGATAAAATGATTGCGCCACTGGATGTTCAACGCATATTGGATACAAGTAAGCGATATATAAAACCATTGAGCAATTTTGGCATGCAATTGAAACATCGAAATTCACATAAGAAATTTATACTATAAAGAGTTACTATAAATATTTATCTATTTTACAAATTAAAAAGATAAATGATGTAGCGTAAAATTAAATAATAACTAATCCAATGTCTTTGCAGTGAATTGTCAAACCGTGCTCGTCAATGGCAGCACCTACGATTTTTGTCGCAACACTTGGCGCTGGATCAACTCCACACAGCTTTGCTATGCGCTGCAAGCTGTTAAACAGATGCCATCTGAATGCAGCTGAGCAAGTTTATTTAATATTTAGAGTTAAGTCACTATGTAATATGCTTATAGTGTTTATTTAAACCTCGTCATCTACTCGTGGTTTCTTAAATTGTCCTTTCTTTTGCCATTTGGGATTGTCATTGGATTTGCGCTTGTACTCGTTTTTTGTGACGAACTTTTTGTTCATCGTTTTGCTTGCGGCTGGCGCTTGATTTGCATAATATATCTCAGCCATTTCCTGATCATTGACTTCTGTTGGCTGCTCTGGCCTCGTATTGCCTTGTTTTTCGGCTTGCTCCAGTTCCATTAGGCGCTCCAGTTCAGGATTCATACCACGGAAGCTAAGACGTCCATCGATCAATCCTGCACAAATGGAATAACTTGGCTCGATAATAAAATTGGAATTACTATTGAGCATCTTTTGATTCATCTCATTGGAGTACAATGCGCGGCTCTGTTCGTCATCGTCTTCTTTGGCTACTTTCGCTTTGGTGCGTTGCATGAACTTCATGTCCAACAAGCCGCGCGAAAGTCTTGGTTTCACTTTTGAAGGCATTGTATTCCTTATACAATTGTTTTGAAATAAATATGAATATAATTCGACTGTGCACGTTGTGTCTGTACAGAATGTGTAAGCAAAACAAACTTACAAAAAAATAGTGATGGGCAACAATTGAAGTGTTGGAAAATACAAATGTCTCAATGCCATGTGGGCGCGCATGACTCGTTCAAAATAGGAATTGTGAATGCATGGTGCAGTACAATATGCAAATATCGGTTCTTCAATTCATAAAAATATAACAATTTAAATAAAACACTATAGTATAAAGGAGATACATAGTATATATAACGAGATATATATAAATACGCATGTAAGAAACAAAATATGCAGCACTTTCGTATCCTTTGCATAAAAAGACTTGCATGCTAAGTACTCAGTAGTGTAAAACGTGCTTGAAATGTTAAAGACTTTCTAATAAAATGGATTTATTTGAATAAATAAAACCTAACCGCGCCAAATATTAAAGTTACTTCCAAATAAGAAGTAATTGCGATTATTGAGTGACACGCAATTAAAGCAGCTGTAAAAGCGCGCCTCTCATATACACACATGGTGTGCAGTAGAAACGTGTCTAACCAATATCACTTTTGGCTTCTAATGCTATTATTGTAAGTAATAACGTAAGACATTAGTTGATTCATGTATAAACTTAAAAAAGTGGTAGATTGAAATAATTATATATAATCATGTTCAATTGATCGATAGCTCTTTTGGGTGTTTCGATAAATTGGTACAGCCGCACACTGTAATATTAGAATGCGTTAGCAAAACAGTCATATGAGTAGCAGAAATATGCTTAACTTTAATGATTTTACGTTTAACAAAGATAATTTTTAAAATAAGCAATAATTTTGGTTTCAGAAAAGCATACATAACTAATTGCGCCAACCTTTTTGTGCTTGTAATTGTGGTGGGCAGTCGATAAATTGCAAATTAACAACCCTAATTGCAGCTCTGAGTGAATGAAAAAAGTGACATAAATGGCGGAATTGTGCTCAAGCGCCAACATTTGTATTTAATTGAGATTTATATTAAAAATAAAAGAATATTATCATTGCCGAATCACGCCACAAATCAATAAGGCCAACAAATAAAAATTTAAACATCGAACCGAGATCTATATTTAAGTAGCGCGCCATGTATAAGCGTAAATCTGGTGCCCCAGTACCCAGGCAGCGGATCATCACGGCCAGCAGCAGCAGCCCTGATGACAATGATGACACTGGCAGCGGCCATGAGATTAAGTTGGATACCAAAGCCTTCGATACTTACCACATTGATATGGCAGTGGACGAAGAACCAGAACAAAAATCTAAAATACAAATACAGCAACAACAACAACAGCCACACAGTCAACAGCGCTCGGTGGGCTCGCTGGTATTGCTCACCCAAAAATTTGTGGATCTGATGAAACAGAATGGTGGCTCTATTGACTTGAAAGAGGTAGATAATGTTCACTTCACAATTGCATCCTTAAATTTGTATGTGTATATTCTTTAAAGGCCACGAAAATCTTGGACGTGCAGAAGCGACGTATTTATGATATCACCAACGTCTTGGAGGGCATTGGCCTTATTGATAAGGGCAGACACTGTTCGCTAGTGCGTTGGCGGTAAGAAGGACTACTACTATACTATCATAAATCAAGTGTTCCTTAGAGCTACTTTATTATTACCCATATGTGTCTGAGTTTAGTTAGTTTATACCTCAACTTGTGATAATATATATTACTTTCTTTTGCTTTAGTGGCGGAGGCTTCAACAATGCCAAAGATCATAAAGAGTATGACGTAGCCTGTGAGCGAACGAATCGTTTGAAAAGTATAGAGGAGGATTTGGATAGACAATTGGAGTATGCACAGCGTAACCTACACTATATAATGCAGGATCCAACAAATCAGTCGTATGCGTATGTTACACGCGATGATTTACTTCAAATATTTGGGGACGATTCCGTTTTTACTATACCCAACTACGATGAGGAGGTGGAGATTCACCGCAGTGATGTATGCAGACCTTATATAAGCTTTCTCGCATATATATTTCATACTTATAATTTAATTTATATAATTAATTAGCGTGAACTGAAAGTTTCACTAGATAATGGGAGCACAATAGATATACGTTTGGTCACCAACCAAGGCAAAGCAACAACAAATCCAAATGATGCTCATGGTCCGTTCGATGATCGCTACTCAGACTCACCGTCTCCATCATCGTCGCCAACACATTCTTCCAGTAAAGCAGGCAATGGCACTGGTAATGTCATTCAGAATGAACATACGTACTCGTGTAATTCCGAGCACAAGGAAGAGAAGGCGCTTGAGAATGAACGTACAGCAAAAATAATCTTTCAAAATTATATGGCTGGCCACTCACTGAGGCGTTTCTATCCCGATGATCCCAATTTAGGTAATTTGTGAAATTCTACTAACTTGCATTTTACTGTGATATCAATATAATCTATAATTTCAGAAAATCCACCACTTGTGCAACTAAACCCTCCACAAGAAGACTTTAATTTCGTTCTGAAAAATGACGAAGGAATTTGCGAACTTTTTGATGTACAGTGTTAGGCGCAATTTGCGATTGTAATTGGCCGAGTGCGTTGTGCAAATATTTAAAATTAGTAAAATTTTGACCTTTAATTTTGTTTTATAATGTAGACATTTTAAATTAGATTAATTGTAAAGTACATTACATTTGGGCCAATAAAATACGTCGATGCGTATACAATGTACATATACACATATACATATGTATGTCTCACGCACTACCTAAGTTTAGATCGACGTTTTACTTTAATAGTCTATAATAAACTAGGGTTTTTGGTTGAGGTTCCCATTCTGAAAATGAAAGCAAGTGGCGCGCTTTCGTTTTGCCATATCATATCTTAGTTTTCCTTTCTTTTTTGTTGGTGTTGGCAGAGACCGTATAATTGTATCGATAGTAGGTATGAAAGCTATCGATTAATAGTGTCACGCGCGTGTATCAAATTGAAAATTAATTTTTAATATATTTGTCATCCAAAATATATTATGTATTTAGTCGTTCATAGTTTGACTAATAGCTTTCTATCTGTGATAATGTTTATAGACCTATATTTTCTCATTTATATCTACGGAATAAGACAACCAACCCCTTTTCTAAAAAAAAATAAAAATTGATACGATAACTTTATTGCGATAAATTTCAAGTGTCTTGAGAATACCAAAAAAAATCTTCTGCTTCTTGATACTTTTCCGTATTAACCACGCAGCAAACATTGTGAATGACAAAACGGGAGAAGTGTAAAAAAAAGAATAGTTAAAATTTGCAATTTGTGTCAAAAGCATCGAATTGGCTGCCGCAACAAAACGACCGGTACTCGTACCAAAACGTTAAATTCATTAAATCATATAGCAAAATAGTGAAAATATGAATGTTCCTCCTAGCGCTGGCAATGGCAATGCAGCTATACCGCAGCCGATGCCGCCAGCAGCAGCCGCCGCTGCCGCAGCCGCAGCAGCTGCAGCAATGGGCGGCATGGGATACACACATCCTCACACGCCGGGCATGGTTCCAGTGCCACCATTTAACTTGCCTCCGCCAGGCTTTGGAGCGCCGCCGCCACCCGAACTGGCAGCTGCATTCGGTGCCCTTGCCTCGAATACGGAGTGGACGGAACATAAAGCGCCGGACGGACGTCCGTATTACTATAATCAAAATACAAAACAAAGCTCGTGGGAGAAACCGGAGGCGCTGATGACACCTGCCGAGCTGCTACATAATCAATGTCCATGGAAGGAATATCGGTCAGATGCCAACAAGGTTTACTATCACAATGTGAGCACTAAGGAAACGTGCTGGGAGCCACCGCCGGAATATTTGGATATGAAGGCTAAAGCTAAGGCGGAGGAGTAAGTATTGACTGTAGATATTATTAACACCAAGATTAACCAAAATTGTTTATATATCCTTCCAGAGCAGCAGCAGCGGCTAAAGCTGTGGCTGCTATGACCTCGTCCAGCTTGACTGGCATGGTACCACACGTGGCATTGGCCAATATACTGCCTGCAGCATTGCCTACAGTGCCGCGAATACCCACGCCGGAAATTCACTCGCCTCTGACTCCGAGTAGCAATGAAAACAGTTCTTCAGCCATGGATCAGGCAATGGCTGCCACGCTAGCAGCCATCGAGGTCCCACAGCAGAATAGTAAGTAGACGGAGCATAGATATCAATTAATAATCAATCAATGAATCCTTTGAATATTCAGATAAAAAAGAAGATAAAAATGGCAGCGAAAATAACACCCTTGTCTTCAAGGATAAGCGCGAGGCAATTGAGGCATTCAAGGAGCTTCTGCGCGATCGTAATGTACCATCCACTGCTAACTGGGATCAGTGTGTGAAGATCATATCCAAAGATCCGCGATACAATGCCTTCAAAAATCTCAACGAACGCAAACAAACCTTTAACGCCTACAAAACACAAAAGATAAAAGATGAACGCGAGGAATCGCGTTTGCGTGCTAAGAAAGCGAAAGAGGATTTGGAGCAATTTCTCATGTCGAGCGATAAGATGAATTCGCAAATGAAATACTTTCGCTGCGAAGAGGTATTTGCCAACAATCGAACTTGGACAGCAGTGCCTGAACAGGATCGCCGCGATATATATGAGGATTGCATCTTCAATTTGGCCAAGAGAGAGAAAGAGGAGGCTCGCTTACTAAAGAAAAGGAATATGAAGGTGCTCAGCGAGCTGCTGGAATCAATGACCTCCATTACGTACACCACCACATGGTCAGAAGCGCAGGTTATGCTTCTGGATAATGCGGCATTTAAAAACGATGTGACGCTGCTTGGCATGGACAAAGAGGATGCGCTCATTGTGTTCGAGGAACATATTCGCACACTGGAAAAGGAAGAGGAAGAGGAACGGGAAAGGGAAAAGAAAAGGTTAAAGCGGCAACAGCGTAAGAATCGTGATGCTTTTCTCGCATTGCTCGATTCCCTTCACGAAGAGGGAAAGCTCACTTCCATGTCGTTGTGGGTAGAACTATATCCCATTATATCGGCCGATATACGATTCTCGGCTATGTTGGGTCAAAG